ATGCCAAGTAGGTCTCTAAATGGATAAGTAATCATGTGGCAGGGGATGATAAAAGATGCCCAGGGCAGGGATCCCTGTGGGTGGTGCCCATGTGTACATTGGGAGGGGCAGCCTTTTGTAATCTTTTAAAAGTATAAACTGGGACTAGGCCAACTAAAGTTAATGGGATGAAACTTTAATATTCAAAATATCAGCAGTGACAACTCACTCCGAGATGCTTAGGCCCTTGTCGCCTCTCCGTTTCATAGCTGTCAGTTTAATTATAAAATAATGTAATTCAACTATTGGGTTCTAGGCAAGTGTACTCTGAATCAAAGGAAGCAAAACCCTACGTTGTTACTTTTTATGTTAACACCATAGTTTCCTTTAGATGTTCTTCTGACTTCTTCTGAAATAAGGATTTCCCACACCTGTATTTTCTTTCTCTGCTATTTCTTCCTTCTATTTCCATTCTAAGAGATCATCACCTTTTCCCTTCCATGTTGCACCCTAAAGGTATCAATTTCAGATTAAAGTCGTGCCTTATGTAACCGGCATTTTTAAAGAAGAAAATCACATAAAGTAACTTTCCCAGAGATTTAAAGTAGACTCCTATAAATATCAAAGTAACTTCTTTTTTAAAATTCAGCCATTTTGACAATTCATTTCAATGAAATTGGTGCCAGGCATTGAGACAGACATTGAGGGGTGTAAAGAGAAACAGGCTCACTCTCTGTTCTCCAGGAGCTCAGGGTCTTAGGGAAGAGCTAAGCCACATCAGATAATTCTAATGAGGGTCATAGGGTGACAAGTGCCATAGAGAGATGGCTTATGGCTTGATGACAACTTCCCAGAAGGAAAACACTTGCTGGAAAATGGGAAGAATCTGGCAAACACGGCGGTGGGGATGGATATTCGAGGTGGGGAGAAACTGAGCAAAGCCCCAGTGGCAAGAATGAATGGGTGTATTTGGGTGTCACAGATGTGTGATAGGAGGCAAGAAAGGGGATCAGTCCCTCATTCTCAGTGTGATAAATGCCAGGGTCCAGAGGTTGGCCTTTATTCTGGGATAATGGGCAACTATGGTCTTAGATAAGGCTTTCGAACAGGGTGGATGACATGATTGGAGTAAAATTCAATTCTTTTCAGCAAAATGTACCGAGCAGTTGCAGTGTGCCCAGCCCTGTACTTGGTGAAGTGGATACAGAAACACACTCATGATGTGGCTCTCAGTAACCTTCGAGTCTAGTGGGAGACCAATGTACAAACAGATCGTGCCAATTAAAAAGCAGATGGGAGCCCAGAGAAGGTACTCTTGGGGCTAAGGGAGAAGTTGATCGCTGATAAGAGTCTTGCCAGAAAAGTAAGAATTATTTGGATAAGCAAGGGGAGGATGGTCCAGACCAAGAGAACAGAGAGCCAAGTCACAGATGCGTCAAGACCCTGGGTGTGTAGAGGAAGACAGCAGCTCCATTTTCCTGTCCCGTTCAGCTCAGTGTGAGGCAGAGAGAGGGCAGTGAGAAAGAGGAGGGAGATGAGGGCAGGGACGATGCTTTGGAAGCCTCCCTCGGGGTGGGGCAGGGAAACCAGGAGGCTACCCAGGTGGTCAGATCCTACAGCAGTGCTGCATTCAGGAGGCACCCCCAGACAGGAATCCCAGGCAGTACGCATGATGCCCACACACACAAGGGGATTTGAGTATGGATGTTGCAACACTTTCTAATCCTCTGCCACTTCCTAACTTAAGCAGCCCCGAACACCCTCAACCCTTCCAGGCACCTATCCCAGAAGGACCCTCACCCCTTCTCCAGGGTTCCATCCCACCCTCTAGATCCCTTAATCCTCATTCTGTTTTTTGGCCACTCTAGTAGATTTCATTCTCCTTGTGAGTATTAATTGTTGGCTCCATTTGGTTTTCTGCCCTCAGCCCGAATCTTTACACATGGATTTTGTCCTTTCTCTCCTCTGCAAACAGGGCTTGATGGTATGAGAGCAAATGGGCTACATTGTGATTTTGAATGGGGATGCTAAGGGGAGGCTGTGAACTCAAATATGTTAAGAACTTGGGGCCGTAGACTTAATTAAGATAGGAGATGATCAAAAAAAGCTAGGGATGTGGCAGTATAATAGCAGAGGAGGCACGGAAGTGAGATAACTTGGAGAAACAAACTCAGAGCTTGGCAGCTAACTCAATGTGGGCTGGAGACAGAGAAAGCTAGGATTTTAATACTGCTTTGAAGCTTGGATCTAGAACAAATATCAGCAGTGTGATATTATCCACCAAGGCTGAGGACTACAAACAGAGGAGCATATTTAAGAGATGGAAATAGAAGATAGCAAGTTTGACTTGGTATATGCTGAGCCTGGAGTGTCAGCAAGATGTTCAGATCATCTTTAACAAGCACAGCACTTTTAATTTCCTTGCAGTATGCTAGCCATCTCCAAACCTGGGACTCATGGTCAAATACCATCGGAAAACGACATGCTATGACCTCTCCTTAGAGACTGATTATATACTGATAAGTCCTGCAGTTAATAAGCCCACTAAATTTAATTCATTTCTAATGTACCTCCCATTTTCTTTCTTTTCCTTTTTTTCCCCCTCTTTCTCTCTGTGTGTGTGTGTGTGTGTGTGTGTGTGTATGTGTATGTTGAGGGGGAGGAGTTCAGAATACCTATTAACATCATTTGGAATGTTTTTCCAAGGAACAGTGTCTTAAGAAATGCTCATTACAGCACTTAATAGTTGTAATCAGGGGATGATTAAGATAAAAAGAATTTGGTGGGGGTAGAGGGGGTTGTTTATTTGCATAAAAGTAAGAGTTGAAGCATTATGAGCTGATGAATCACTCAGAGTGAATAGGGAGAGAAAGGAGACTGGAGGCAGAGCCTTTATGAGCCCATTTCATATCTCGAGTGGCATGGGCAGAATGTAATATGGAGAGGCAGCAAGTGATAGCAAACGTGTGAAAGCAAAAGCATGGGTTTCAAAAATTGACATGTGTGACAAGTGATCTGATCTTTAAGACTCAGTTTTCTTATCTGAACAACAAACAATGCCCACCTTGTTGGGTTGTCCTGAGATTTAACATAGTTAATAAATGAAACACCTACCAAATGGTAGATGCATAATCCACTCTCAATAAGCACTATTATTGCTATTATTTTCCTTTAGATATTCTTGACAAATTGAAGCAAATCTTTGATGATTTCACTGCTATATTAAAACCTGAACGTTGAACAACTACACAAGAGAAGTTCCAGTCATTGTTATCAATACCCTAATATAGGGAAGCAATCCCAGTTCAGACAAGCCTGGGGCAAGACCAGCGTGGTACAGGAATAGAGGCCACAGACGCTACACAATGCAAGAAGACACCACAGGAATTTCCCTAAGGCACTGTGACTGTGTTTTCATTAGATTTCACGCAGAAATGCTGGAAGCTAATAGCAGAACCTTAGTGAATAATCTGCTCTCCTTAAAAAATTCACAGCAAAAAATCTCCTAGGCAAATGGCTGAAAGTATCCATGTGATATGTGGAGATATCCTCTGACAATAGTTGTTATTTGGCACCCCCAGGGGCAGGCTGAAGAAGAGACATCTGCAACACAATACTGAGCTAACAAGGTCTCTGTCTGTCTGACTGTGTCACTGTGCCACAGACGCAGGCCTTAGTCATTGTCACTATTGGTCAGTTGACCACAATTGGTCAAAGAAGATCCTAAATTTAGAGTCTAAAGCTCTATGAACTGCTGAAGTGGATTAGCTTTTCTCTGCCCCAACACAAAATTGAGGCAATTACCAAGATATTACCCAGATCAGCTCATTGCAAACCCAGAAGGGATGGGGACCAGGATTTATTCTTTTGCAGAGTCTTTTCTGTAGGACTTCTAAACTGCAGCCTTTTGGATTTCAGATAAGTCCAAGGACTCTGTTGTTCAAATTGGCCATTTAACGTGGCTGGTCAGTGTTCTTAATCAAGAAGTCATCCTTCGGTTCCCAGACATAGATGGTAGATATCACTAAAAGGGTGGTGAGAAACCTTCAAGGAAATGCTTAAGGCTTCAGGGCTGTGCAGACCCTTGGGACAAGACAGGGACAGGCCACCCACTGATTTATGAGCATGAACACACAGGATATTATGTCAGGAGATGTTCTTTAGCTGCTCCCTGGGTGAAGAAAGGCTGAAGTATAAATGAAATTTACCCTAGATATTCATATGCTCTCTCCCAGGGCAGTATTGCAGGAGAAAGTGGACATTTTTGTATCTGTTTATTGATATGGCAAGTTGCCTAAAAATCACAGGACTGGGGCAGGATGAATATAGATAAAACAACAAGCTCTAAACACAGTTCAAAGATAGGCAGTGTCAGCAGCAGCTGAATCTAGCCTCACCTAGAAGTCCAAACACTCAGGTCCTGCCCTAGGCATACAGGAAACAGAACCCCTGGGCAGTTTTGAGTTATCCAGGAAATTCTTCTGTAGGGTCTTCTCTTCTTCCCCAGAGGTAGGTGGCCCATTCTGCTGTCTTCAGGCTGATTTCAGGCCTAGTTGTATTTGCTATATTTTCACATTCTGTGTGATTTGGGGAGGAGGTTTTTGCCTTGCCTTCCTACACCACGGTCTTTTTCCCCAGCTCCTGGTAATTCTTGATATACTAAAGTTTAAACGGCACTGATCTAGGCCTTTATTTGATGTGTCTGTAATATCCACTTCCATGCGCGCACTAAACTAGCCTGGCTTCCTTGTCTTTCTACCCTCAGCTTCCAGGTCTTTGATCCTGATAGTCCCTGATTAGACCATCTGGTTATACAGAGGACCTCACTTTTGTAATTTTTATCATCAACTTAAATCACAATTCTGTTTACGGAAAGCAACTCTGTAGAGGTAGTAAAAACACTGAGTCTTAGCCTTGTGATTTGGTTTGCAGCAGAAAGACCATAGTTAGAACCACTGAAACATTTCTGTTCATTTCTGGGATAATGGAAATAAATTAAGGGATGAAAAAAGAGGGGAAACTCTTAGATGCTGCTCCTGGGAAGCTTTCACTTCAGCTTGTAATTTCTCGATGCACTGAAAAGGCACCCTTCCTTTTACATATTGAAAGTAAAATCTAAAATTTCCAGATGTAATTATGTACCAGTTCTCAAATCTTATGAATAGCAGCATTATCTCAGTTAGTTGTTTTGAAAATTATCATTAAAGAAATCACTGTTCCCATTCCTATCTCTCTTACATTACATGGAAAGGCCCAAAACAACAAAATACACAAAAATGTTAGGAATTAGAAAATAATTGGGAAAAATGTTTGCTTAACATACTGCAAATAATGCAAATGCACCTTGTATCATATGTACATATATGTGGGGCTAAATGCTGTGTATCTACCTTTGCAATATACACATACACATACACACCAAAGGCAGATACAAATACATTTGGGTTGAATAAGAGATAAATTTATATAATAACACATATAGAAGTGACCAGAGATTCAGAGATTAATAACTTATTATAAAGTAATTGATTAAAAGCAATACCAAATTTTCTGGTCCACTTGTTTTACTACACAGAAACTATTCCTTATTAAGTTCAATCTTGGAAACAAAAACATTTGTATAGTCAATACCACTTACAAAATAACTAGAAAATTCAGCTAATATAATTCAAAAGGATACATATCAAGCAAGCTTTTAAAATATTCCTGACAGAGTTAATTTTTATATGTGAATATTCACCAGGGAATACAATTACATTTGGCAAATACAAATATTGGCTTTACCCTCTGACCATAAATATGAACTTTCAACCCAGCCAGAAATTACTACAGAATTGTCACTTCATAAACATTTAGCTAACTTCTAGAATTAAGATTGATTATCTTCTTTACCATACCTGGTCTTTTCCAAGAACCACTTTTTTATCTAGTTCTCTCTTGTCTTCTTTCTGGTTCAGAGCCTCTAGTTTTTCCTCCAGCCAGAAAACTCGTTCAAGCAGTTTTGATTTTTCTCCTTCAGAGGCTGCAAGCTAAAGACATTTTCTTGTAAGGATATTTAAATATAGTGGTTTTCTTTTATTTTTTAAAGCTCCTTCTAAAAGTCCAATGCCTTCCACCAATATCTACTAAATATGAAAATGGCTTCCGGGACATTTCTCAGAGATAACAAATGATCAGTATAGAGAGATAAGGAAATCATTTTGATTTCACTTATTTTTAATAATAAAGATCTTTCTGGGCAAGTTACACATAGTTACAACAAGCAGAGGGCTATCTAGTGCAATAATCTCAACTCTCATCTTCATTATATTTCAAGATTGACTTTATTTTACAGTGGAAACTGACATTGGTGTTGTGGTTTACATATGTGGTTTACTTAACTCTTGGGGGACTACAGCTCTTTAAGAAGAGTATACATTCTGACTCTCTTGAATGTTCAGTATACAAGCTGCTAAAGAAAAATGCATGAATTTCAAGTTAAAGTTTCATTAAAGGCAGGTATGTGCTAAACTGTAACCAAGAAGTGACTATCTTTGTTTTACTCTTTGTAGATCCTTCTTGAGGAAAGAGGTAGTTTGATAGCCCCTAGACCCTTAATGCCTTTGCAGAGCCCAAAGGAAGCTTTTCCTTTCACCCAGGCAGTTTATTATGCTTTTTCTGTACAACTCAGCAATAATCCTGAAAGAGTCCCTGGAAAGGGACACCCAACCTTGTATTCATTCTGATCCCCAGTGTATCCTCTGAGGCATGGATTATTTCTAAGTATCTCTTTTGTATCATTCCAAGTGTTATTGGGAAGCCTACTGTCTTATCCTGAAAAGTAGAGCAAGTTTTTAAAGACAGTTTGTCAACTGGAAAAGCATGAAAAGGTTGGTCTGTCACGGAAACAAGGTGGGCACATCAAATACACTGGCATCCATCTTTCCATCCACACCATCACCCACTTAAGAAATATTTGTGTGGTCGCTGCTCTCCACAGACGGTGTGTTATATGCTGAGGATTACAAAGGTGCAATGGGAGGGCAGGGGGAACACATATGTCAGTGTCATCAACTCTTGGCTATACGTTTGTGCTCTCAGTGACCTGGGAGGCCTGCTGCGCTCCTCGTGGGCACTGATGCATTTAGCTCTTGGCACATGTTGGTTTGGAAATGTAGTCTGTTTTCTGTGAGAACAGTTCTGTTTTATTATATAGCATAGTGGAATGGTAAGTCAGACCCTTAGGTAAAAATCTGTTTTCTACTTACTTTCTATGTGATTAGGGTAAGTTGCTTAGTCTCTCTGGGCTTGATTTTCCTATCTGTAAATGAGAATGGGGATGAAAAGTACAATACTTACCCCCTGGATTTGTTTCAGGATTCTAACATTAAATTAACAGCCTACATCAGAGAAATACTTAAACAACACCTAGAACACATCAAGTACTTAGTAGCTATTTTTATTATTTCTTCTACCTCCTCTAGATTACAGCAGGCATTCATATGGGCTCTATCCAAATATTTTTTATTGATGAAATTGTAAAACAAAATATCTGAAGATATCAGCCTGTCAGAGCTGGCTACCCTAAACTCAAATATTTTTTAGTTTATTTAATTCCTGTTACTACTCTAGCCTTCAGAAAAACGGCCTTTCTATGTCAGATTTTTTTTTCTCTCAAATATTTTTTCTCAATCTGCCCCATTTTGTTCCCATATGCTGCCTGACCTGTAACTCATTCATTCACCATTATGTTGTCTTTCATTTAAATCTGTCTTCTATTAATTTTAGGCCTTTAATCATTCATTCAACAGATATTCATTAAAGAAATATATTGCACATTTATATATGTAAAACTTTGGAATTTAATAATGAAAGTAATTTTATTCATGTTCTCCAAACACTCAAACTTTGCCCAGAAAGGCAGATAATTTTTAAACTATTATATAATATGAGAGTATACAGATGAATAATCATAACAATATTAATAATAGCTAACATTCCTGGGTACTTACTACATACCAGACATTGTGTAGAAACTTTGGTTTCATATTTATCTCAGTTTAGCTTCTTACTCATGTTGCAGATGAGGAAATTCAGCAAGTTCAGTATAGTTGTATAACGTGTCCAAGGATACAGAAAATAAGAGTCGGAACCCAAGCTTTTCATAGTGAACCTCAGGTCTGTCTCTCTAAACCCAAATTTGACCTTAGATCCAGAAGTGGCACCTGATAATCATGACAGTTCCCTCATCTTTGCTGTTGATGGGTTCAGGAATAAGGTCTAAACCAATCAGAGCCCGGCTTTTCTCTGACCACAGTTATTTCATGAGGAGATGGACCACTCCCATTGCACAAGAGGAATTTTGATGATTTGCAGGATTCCCTCTCCTCTACCAGATATGAATGCTGCTGTATAGCCATCCTGTAAACATCCAGGAAAGCAGTTATACGATGAAACCACATGCCAGATGGAATAGTGGACAACAGAAAAAACCTGAGTCTTTTTAATATTGTTGACATGTTTTATCAACCAGTCTTGAAGCATTTTCTACCTTGTGATTTATACTTAATGAGCTAATAAGTTTCCTTATTGTTCAGGAGTCTAATTTTCTATTACTTGCCACCATAAGCATTCTAGTGACATACTGTCTGATTGCAAAATCCCAAGCTCTTGACCACAAATGAGTGAAGTCTATGGAAAATCAGCAGGTACTGACATTCATTTGGTAGCTACACCACACCATACATTCTGTTGGGTGCTATGTATGTTACCTTAGTCCATTGTTCAAAACTCTATATGGAGTTTTGTTTATATTTTTATTATTATCACCATTTTAAAGATCAAGAAACTGATGCTTTTAGGGATGAATAAGAAGTTGCATTCAGATCTCCATTGGTCTGCCTCCAGTGCTGCGTTCTATATTATATCCAAACCCTAACTCTGTGGCTGCCTGCAAAGATGAGGCACGTGATCTTTTCCCCCTTAGTATGTGACCTTCATCATTTTTTCTCAGTGTGTTTACATATTTCCCTGAAGGAAATTCATTTTCTTTTTTCTAAGACCTGGGAATTCTGTCCTGCCATCTTGCCTCCTTGTTATATAGATCCCAACCCCATCTTTTTCCTCTCTTCTTGTAAGAGGTTTCTGCCCAAATATCTCTTTGACTCAGATATGTTTAGCTCAGGTTCAGCTTAACTCTAAGAATGTTTGACTTAGAGTCAAGAGATCTGTTTTAGTCTTATCCCTACAAACTCACTGATGCTATGACCTTGGTACTCAAATTGGGATTTTACCATTCTACCTTGCTATATTTTTACAGGGTGTTTCTCAGTCATATGTATTCAAACTAGATTGCAAATTTCACAGAAGGGTGAGTGGAGAATTCTGTCAAAACTTACAAGATGCAATGAATTGACCAGGAGTAACCTTTGCTAAGATTGCTCCATGTAAAACTATGAGTCTTAATTCTCATTTGTATCATCACTTCACAAAAGCAGGATAAAGGGATCTTAGTATTTCTTCTTCATGTGGACACACTGGGGCCAGAACTAATAATTTGCTGTTGGATCCCATTATATAATTAGGAAACTGTTTATTAGCATAGGACAATTAATATTCCTCCAACCCCTTTGAAAATGGCCAAATAAGCCTAATAATCTAACAGGAAAGGAGAGAAAAGAGATGAGAAGGAACTAAAATAAAAAAGTATGCATCTGAAGGGTTTTTTTTGTTTATTTGTTTGATTTAAGCCCTGCCTGAAAGGTTGTGCTTTGCTGCTAAGTCACAAGATGTTTGATGCCATTTTGAATTCACTCCATTGTTTTGATGGAGCTGTTAGGACTTTTCAAAGTCTAATTTTCAATTCAGGAAGCCTTTGGAATGCTGCCTAAATTCAAATTCAAATTATGGGACAGAAAACCAGGCATTAAAGTAAGAGGAAATCCAAGTTAGCAGCTGCAAATTGAATTTAAGAATTCCGGGGACCTTGGGTATTGCTTCCTTTTGATTGCTTATTTTCCCTTTTCTTTTTTTCTTTTTTTTTTATAAGTACTACTCGGTTTTACAGAGCAATTGTTTTCAAAAAGCCAAGAAACAAAAACTCAGTCCAACTTAGTATCAGCTATCTGCTTACAAAAAGAAAGTAGAAATGCACCTATTCTTTAAATGATCAATGTTTATGTATCCTTATTAGCCACGTTTGCTGGAGCATACTGTTCACGTAATGCTAGGAGGCTAATATTCTACCTCTGACTCCCCTTTAAGAACAGTCCCTCTTTTCCTCTGCCCATGGTCCTAATGAGTTTGGAGGAAAGAGATAATTAAAAAAGCATGAACAAAGGGGGCCCAGTGGCACAGTGGATAATGTGTCTGAGTATGGATCAGAAGAGTCTAAATAGCATGAACATTTGTCCTCAGAATTACATTAAACAAAGAGATAACTTCCTTATTATACATTTGAGGCTGTGCATTTCCACCCAAAAAAATCATCTTTCAACTTTACCCTAATGTTCAATAAACCTTGATCATAAAGGTATTGCAATACAGTTAAAAGTCAAAGAAAGATAAACTGTAGCCATTTTATATCTTATTGATGCAGTCAAGAAAGACACTGATATATTTTAGAGTTATATTCAAGATAATAGTCAAAACAAAATGACCTGTGCCTCAGTCACTGAGTGGCCGCTAAGAGCTCAGCAGCCTTTCCCTTGATGCCTTGAGACCCCTTGCTTCTCTGTGCTCCATACCACACCCCCCAACCTTCTCCCACCACCGCCTTCTATAGGCTGTTTCCAATGAAGAGAAGGAATCATGTAGTATATCTGCTATCCAGAACCTCTTCTTTTGACTAATGCACGTAAAGGTGATAATCTGCTTCCTGCTGGTACTAAGGATTATATCCATTTAAGAATTCAACAGAAAAACTGCAGAAAGACCCTTACTGCTGTCCAAGGGATTGCTGATGATTATGATAAAAAGAAACCAGTGAAGGCATTTAAGAGGAAATTTGTCTGCAATGGTACTATAATGGAACATCCAGAATATGGAAAAA